CTGTAATAATAAATTAACAACTCTGGACCTATTTTGTAATGCCTGCTGTTACTGATTGAAAAGGGGATTGACAAGTGGAAATACAGAAGTCAAAAAGAAATATTAATACTTTTCAGGTTGGAAAGTGCTCAAGGAGTTGTTAGGATTGCTCATTAAAGCAGCAGAACATAACTATGGTAGGGTACTATGTTCTCTCTCTATATATAGAATCAGTATTGCATGAAGAGCTTTTTTTCAAGAATTTCACTTCTAGTCATAAAAATGCTTTTTAAACTAACAGCTTTCTTCTGCTCGGTAGGATGTGATTTGTTGGAAGTGTATGTTGACCTGGAACCAACAAGGAGATGACTAAGTAGGAGGAAAATGGTTTTAACATGCCTCCGCTTTGCCAAGGAATATGGAAACAATAACAGATTTGTCAAGTCTGTGGGTCAGCTAGCTTTGTAGTGATATATGATATTTCTCTATGCACGACATACTTGCTGTATTATTTTTTTCTAAAGCACCACTGTGCTTTAGAAATGTGAATATGTCTGTGTCCCGGCTGCTGTTTGTCACGTCCATCAGCTTGCTGTTTACTGATCAGATGTATCCAGAGTAGGTGGGAGATTTTGACTTCTTTTCATTGTGGCAGACACATAAGGTGGTCTGTCATCTTATTTGTTTTATGGAGTAATTTGATAGCCAGGACTGTACATGTTTGACATATTTTTGGACTAAAGCACTAAAGCTCTACAGTAGTTCTTCTCCCATTTCCCCATTTTTGTTTTCTCCAAGACATGACAGCCCCCCATGCTGCCTTTCCTTATCACACTGGGGTATGTTGTACCACTCATTTGCAAAGCAGCCTCTTCTCAAGGTTTCAGACAGTGCAGAGATGATTCCTGGTGTACTTCCTTGGAAGAAACCCAAGGAAGGGGTTTCTCTGGAAGAAACCCAACACCTTGAAAAATGAGGATTCCATTTAATAAGAAATGAAAGCTTTAGATGCTGTTTTCATTTAAGAGCAGAACTGTGCTCTTGAGGGCCAGGGATTGATAATCACCCAGAAGAAATCACAGGAACACCCTTTCCTCGGTGAAGAGGAGGTAGTACATCAATGGTTAGTTGCTCTGAGATGTGCTGGTGACCAGGTTCAAGTTCTGCATGTTCCAGGAGCGAGCCTGGACCATTCAGTGATCTCTGTTTCTCCACCTAATAAATATTTTGTTGCAACAGATGTGATCTCATATCCTCTTACAGGCCGCTTGTAAAGCAGTCACTGAGGGATGGCCCTGTTCAGTGGAGAGCTCAAAATGTGGGTAAATGCTTGAAGAAGAAAGCAATGATCTTCAAGAGGACAGTTGTTTAATAATACATTATATTATTATCATATAAATAAGGTTTGCAGTGCTGGCCATCTCTCTCCTCTAAAAATCAAGTTTTCTCAGTGCTGAATTCCTAGAGCCTCTTAGATATCTCCTCAACTTTCTGTTAATATGGGAAGAAAGGACACCATCAACACCCTTTTCAACTCCCTTCTGTTTTCTGTGTCTTGCTTTTAGTTCAGGATTTTTCCTGTGGGCTTCAAGTTTTTCGTTGGCATAGGGAAGTACACTGCTGTCTTTTAAGTGCAGAGCTCATGGAGGAGGTATTGCATTAAATCTGTTTGGGCTCACTGCCTGCTGCTGGGCAGAGGAGAAAGGGAAGAGATCTGGATTCTGTGGCACTAGAGGTCCTTTCCAGCCCTGCATCCGTTTCTATCCCCTGGGTTTCCCTGGTAAAACCCCACTGGGATTTGAGTGGTTGCACTGTCTCTTGCATCAGGTTTCAAGCTGACTTACTGTTACCATCTGCTCTTTTGGAGCAAAACTCCTGGCTTGCTAAAAAGTAAAGTACAGTGAATTAATAAAATCATAGAATTGTTTTGGTTGGAGGGGACCTTTGAAGATCATCTAGTCCAACCACTCTGTCACAGGCAGGGACATCTTTCACCATCTTTCACTAGATAGGTTGCTCAAAGCCCCATCCAACCTTGCCTTGAACAGTTTCAGGGACTGGACATCCAACTTCTCTGTTCCAGTGCCTCAACACCCTCACTGGAAAAAACGTCTTCCTCATGTCCAATCTAAATTTCTTCCAGTTTAAAACCACTGTCCCTTGTCCTGTCATTTCCAGGCCCTGGTAAAAAGTCCCTCTCTCTCTTTTTCACAAGCCCCCTTTAAATATTGAAGGTCTCCCTGGAGGTTTCTGTTTTTCAGGCTGAACAATCCCAACTCTCCCAGTCTTTCCTCACAGGAGAGGTGCTCCAGCCCTCTGACCATTTCTGTGGCCCTCATCTGAGCTCCCTTCGGCAGATCCACGTCTGTCTTGTGCTGGGGACCCCAGAGCTGCATGCAGTGCTCCAGCTGGGGTCTCACAAGAGTGGAGGGGAGGGGAATGTTAGTTAAGAAATGTTAGTGCTTATAGCATGGGTAGTAAGTAGTTACAGTGAACAACAAAAAATGGTGGATTGACTTTTTGACTAGAGGAATTTCTGCTAGGCTGCAGAAATTTTTTGTGCCTTTTTTTTGCTGTTTGGTGTACTTTTTCCTTTCTTTCAATTTGAAACCAAGCTATACTGTTCTGTGGCATTGTCAGCATGACCCCAGAGGTCTTTGGAGAAGCTAGTTACTTTGGTTTCTTCTTACTGCATCTCCCAAAATGATACCATAGTCTATCTTTAAGCAGCATGACGTTTGTTTTTTACTGCTAGCCCAAACATTTGTACTGATTGTATTTTCACCTCTGCCTTCTTACGAAGGAATTCCAGCTGAATAGGGAATGTCTCCCTTCACTTGAGCTTGTGTTTTTCTGGATAAGGAATTAGAGGCTTCTTACAGTTTATTAATTTTTCTTTTAGTATTATGTAACCTGTAAAGGTTTTAAGTACATGAGTTTAAGTAGCATGTTCTTTCTTAGCTCATTTTATAGTCCTTGGCCTATTCCTCTTCAAAATTCTCACAAGCAGCATAAGTTGGCCTAAGTACATACTTTGAGTTAATTAAATCTCCTAAACAGTGTTTAATTTTCTTCTTCCTCTTGAAGTTGGTGAGAGATTAGTTATAAAAGAAAATTAGTTGGTTGATAGCATCACGTATTTGATCAGTGCTGAAACAAGATAACTGCCTCAGGTGTATGGTGAACTCTTCATTCCTATGTGAACATTCAGCATATTAAAAGCTGACAACATTATTTGGACATTCATCCTAACAACATATTATAGAAGATCACAATTAATGAAATGAGGAAGTACTAGAACACAAAACATAAACATTTTTAAAAAGTCTTAATTCCTTCAGTGGGTTTGTTCCCATCAAAGCTTTTTACTTTAGCTGAAAGATTTGCAACTGATATTGATGAACCCAAGATTTTGTTTGAGATTATTCTTCTCAAAACATAAAAAATAATTTGACTGTTGCTCATACATGAGTTTGAGACTAAATGGTGAAGTGTCTGTTTACTCTCCTGACCTCTTGACTGAGGCAGCACAGTTGTAGTGGACAAGTTAGTAAAACAAAATTACCTTTTTTTTCTTTTTTTCATCTTAAGATTTTGTGCAGAGGATATCTGAGCATCCTGAGAGAATAAGATGTTAAGTGTTGATGAAAAGTAAACCTACTTCATTGTATCTGATGAAGTTGCTGCACTAGTTTGGGTTTTTTTTTCATTTTTTTCTTCAAATGTTTTCAAAGAGTTTTAACTTTCTCCTATTCAGAAGATGCTTCTGACTTACATCTTGGTTTCTGTATTGTTCTTGGGTTTTAGCTAGAACTTGATGTCACCAGTTGTAGCCTCCAATAGTCAAGGGGGTCATTCAAAATACTTTCCATTTCCCACTGAGGTACATTCTTGGAAGAACTTTTCCAATCCAAATAACTGGCATTTATTACTTTTTAATTGCTTAGTTTAATACGTGCTTACATTTGCTGTGGGTCTGTAAAATGAGAGTCCTAGAGGGCACATGCATGCAGTCACTGGATTCAGTTTACATAGCTTGATGGATGTTTTGGGAAAAGCATATTTGTGTGTATGTGCAGTTTGTTACAGATGGTGTCCCAACAAGAAAAAGGTTGTGCTAATGCTGAAGAAAAATGAAATGAAAGTAACTAAATGAAGTAGTAAAAAAAAAAGCATGGCCTTAGAGCTTAGCATCATTTTTCAGCAGCTGTGGGGAAAGCAGTCAGTATGGCACACACGTGGTTGAGCTCAGCAAACATTCTCAAGATGCACTGTGTAGGCAACAATCAATGGGCAGGAGAAATTTCTCTGGATAATTCTGCTCCTCTGGATATTACCAGTGTCCCACTTTTAAGTCCAATGCCTTTTTGTGGAACCTGGTCATGCAAGTAGGTAAAGATCTTAATTCCATATTAAACAAACAAACAAAAAAGTTCATTGTTAGTCTTCGAGATTGTGAAGAAAAATCTTAGAAGGTGAAAGAGTTCTGAAGCTTTAAAAAAGGCAAGATGGACAAAATACAGACATTTCACCTAATAAATTAACTTAAGGTGGATCATTTTTTCATTCAGGTTTGTTTTGAGGGACCAGTGAATTTTTAGAGCTCTAGTTTTGACAGTGTGATTCTATGAAAATAGTTTGAGTCCAGTGCCCTTAGGGAAATGCAGATCTCAACTCCTTCCTCTTCTGGCATACATAAATTAGGAGAAGACTCATTTTTCACAGTTTAGGATTGCTTGTGAAGGAGAAAAAACAGGACTCATGTATCCCTGAAAACCAAGCTGATGTGCATTATGGACCTGCACTTAGAGTCTGTTTAGTTTCTGTCAAGGAGGGATAGGCTGTATGGCAAACTGTTCTTTGCACTGCTATAAATTGGAAACATCCATAAATTATTCTGAATTAGTTTTTCACTACCCCTCATAAATCTTTTCCTCGCGGTTTGCTCTGCTGTCTCTTGGATCACAGCTGAACTTAATCTGAACAGTCAGATTAATTCTGGTCCTCCCTTTGCTTTGTAGGACTCCTCAGTGGGCAGACCTCTCCAACTAACACCAAGCTGGAAAAGCTGGACCCCCAGCAGGTGCTGCAGCTGTGTCTCCGGTACCAGGATCACCTTCACCAGTGCGCAGAAGCCGTCGCCTTTGATCAGAACGCGCTCGTGAAGCGGATTAAGGAGGTGCTGTTGTATGTCCTCTTGTGGTGGGGAAGGGCTTGGGGCTGCATGCTGGGGGTGCAGGTGCTTGCTCTGGGTGGCTGTGGGTCACTTGCAACAGTCTGCTTCAAAGCAACCTCCGTAGAGAAACTTTGTACGTATGCACTTCAAGCGAAGTTTCCAGGTTTTCATTGTGGTTGCTGTTGGGTTGTGTGTTTATTGGTCATGCCCTGTGATTCCTGGCCGTAAACAGTGGCTGTTCTTCTGGTGTGGCAAGTGCTGCAAGAAACTGTTGAAGAAGTGAAAGATTACTGACATTTTTAAAGGTAGCATTCCTTATTTAGATCTGTATAGTATACATTTTATTATGTCTTATGGTTAGGCTCTGATTTAAGGAAAGAAACAGTAATCTAAACATCTATGGCTGGAGAAGGTAGTACTTCAATGGATTTGTAGAGCTAGACTTGTTTTCAATGCTGTCTCGTTTCTGATCTGTGTGGCAAAAAGGTCTTCCTGTGCTGTTGCTTTTACCAATAAACCGTCATTTGGAAATCACTGGTCTGTTTAAATATTGAATTATACTGTTTGGGATTAAATTAATTCCTGGGATGAGCATCCTGCAATTGAATTGTCCTTCTCATATGTGATTACTGATGCTGAAAGCAGTAGGATGGCTGACAGGTTTTTGTTTTGTTTTTTTTTTAAGTCAAGACAGGCTGGCATGAGAGGAGATGTGGTTTGAGAGTGTCTTCTCAGATACTCCCAGATGTGTAGAAGAATTGGTGAATGCTGCATATGTCAAAAGTTCTTGAGACCAAATACCTTTCAGAGTAAAAAAATTTTGAACACATGGTTAATTTTTATTCATGCAGTATAAGCACTGACCTTGATTCGTTGTTGCTCTATTGGCTTAGAGTTAAGAAAACCCCACATGACAAAATGAATAATAAATTTGATTTATGGGCTGTTTTGAGAAGCTGCTGTCATCGTGAAGTTTTCAGTCCAAAGTAATGTAGGAGCCATTAAAATGGCCTTTTTATTTTGGTATATCAAGATCTGAGGCCAGCTATTACACAAGATGTAAAGATATTTGCAGATGTTGGTGACTCAGATCACACAATCTCAGAAATGGGATTTAATTGCCAGCCTAATGACAGTGTGGTGCGTTAATCCAAGCAGACTGTAATTCTTTTGGCTTTTAAAGTGAGAGAGGGAATATTGACATGATTTAAAGTCGTTGTAGACTCCACCAGTACAATCTGCATTAATTGGGCTTGCCTTCTATAGGGCAAGCGGCAGAGTCCCTTTCGAATTAGCTATGGTGGTTTTCCTCCAGTTTGTAAAGCTTGTGCTTATTTTTCATCTAAAATAAATAAAATTATGATACTGATATTATCACTAGCTTCTTTACAACAGACTCCTCTGACAAAGTGATGGAGAAATGGGCAACTCTGTAATGCAGGGAACTGATAAATCAGATGTGTTTGTTTTTTTTTTTTTCGGCCGCGACATTTAAGTAACTTCAGATGCTTTCAATCCCTCTACCAGATCCGCTGGTTTTTAGTGTTCGTTTCGCTAATAATTTTTAAATTGCATTGGCTGTTCTGCATGTGTGTTCTGGAGCAGCTGGGTGGGACCCAGTTGGCTTAAATTGTTCTTTCCAAATTGTTTGGGATCTGCTCGATGAACTAAACCGAACCACTGGTGACAGTTGTTGACAACGAGGGGTGCAGCTGAACTAGAGCAGGGTATGTCTCTCGTTACAAGTGTAGACAAAGGAAATCCCATTTGGCATCACCCATTTGTCAGCAGTGATTTAGTTTTGCCATGTACACAAATCTTTGACTGCTAGTAAAGGGTAAAAATGAAAGAGAAAATAAAGGATATTATGAAAAGCATAATGTGTGCATGAGCTGGGACAGTAAATTCTTTTATCCTCATTTTGGTAGCCAGTATTTCCCTTTTCCTTCCTTTAACAGTGCAACCATTAAAGTGTTTTTCTTCTGATAACAGACTGATCAAGTGACTGATGTTTTAACTTACAAACTGTTGGTGAGCTTCAGTCCCTGATACCCTACCATTTGTCTGAGGTATGTTCACTTTTCAGACTATCACTGACTATACTCAGTGAGTAATAGTCCTACTATACAGTGCGCTACACTCTCACTGCCTGCAGCCAGGAGTGTTTTTTTTGGTCTTTCCTTGGCAAAATGTCCCAGGGCAAATATCTTTTGTTCATTGTCTGTGTTGCCAGAAAAAAGGTTTCCTGGATTCTGTCAAAACTCAGAAGTACTTCTGTAAATTTATTGGTCCTCAATAACTCGTAACTGAGTGTGGTGGTTTGTAATTGACACACAATCTGAATTACAGTGGTTCTTAACAGGAAAGAGAATAAGCTAAGGAAAAAAAGGAGTGCCTGCATAACAGTAGTTACCACAGATCTGAGTAGACACATTTGTGCATTCCTTAACTTCAGGGAGCAAAACAGCTTAGCTTCACTTTCCATCCCATTTCTCACTTTATCCAGAATTTCTTTGCAATGTGTTGGCTGGATCCATATTTGCTCCTAAACGTAGAACCTGTGTGGCTTCCACGTTGGTGTGACTGTTTTCTCTCAAGAGGAAATACATTTACCCAAGTGTTTCCTTGAAGGGGAAAGCATTAATTGAACATGTGATTGAAGGTAGTTGATTCAGGTGCCTTTCTTCAGCATTTACAGTTATTTGTACCTGAATGAGCTTTGTTTTGGAAGAGAGTGATTTACTTATGGCAAGAGGTGTTGTCTTCACTGTCAAAAAAAAAAAAGAGGAGGTATAAGATGAGTTTGAAGGGAAATGTTGATCAGCGCTAAAAGTATGACTGGGGAAAAGTAGGAATTAAGCAGGATGAAGACTACATGAAGTCCTTATGCATGGAGGATGTGTGTTTTGGGTGGCAGGGAGAGACTTTCAGGAGTCATGTGATAGGGGATGGTGAGTAACAGGGAACAGGAAACAAGTAGAATAGGTAAAAGCTGGGGAACAGAGCTAAATTCTCAGAAAGAGCCCATGATTTTGTGTCTAGTTTCAGTGCCTTAAAAAAAAGATTATTTTTTTGTGCACAAGGTACTAAAATTTCAAAAATGATATCTTACAAAATATCTGAAGGTAAGTATCCAAAAATTACTAGTCACACATCAAAAGTTAGGCTTATCCTTTCTGTGAAAGCAAAAGGGAAGATGAAAACCACCTAAGCTCCTTTCAAAAAAGCTTTGAATGAAAAGATCTTTAGCATTTCTTATTAGACTTCCAGCATTGTCAAAGGGGATGTGCTTTTGAAGTTTACTGTGTACCCTTAAAGGCAAATGTGGTTCCTAGATACACTGTTCTTAAAATGTATTTCAAAGCAGGTTACTTAGTCTCTTTGCCCGAACAACAAATATAAATGCATTATTATTTGTAGCTTTTGTTGCCATAGAAATCCCATGCTGCCAATAATTTTGAAAACAGAGCACTTTTTACAATACGAGATGAAATGTAAAATGTCTCAATCTAAGCTGGCACACACCTGTGGGGGCAAAACCCCCCACTTGTTCAAATATAATAAATATTACTTTTATATTCTGAGTAGTTAAGCAACTTTTGTCCAGGCAGGCATTAATATCAGTAATTGGTTTGTCATGCAGCAAATTGCAGCGTATGGCTTGTTTCATACCTATAAACTCCTCTATGGGAATAGCTCATTATTTTGAACAAGTATTCCAGAACAATGTGTGTATGGATTTTATTTGTTTTGGTTTGTTGATGGTGGTTTTCTTTCTTTATCAGCTTGCAGCAAAAAAGTAAATGTAATGGGCTTCTCTAGTATGTAGTTAAGATGTCCAGAAATACATCCCTTAATATTTGGCAAATAAATAACTTTTGCAACCATACATACATGACATCATGTCTCCCAATATATTTCAGCTATTTAAGATTATGAATAGGTGTTAAATCATTATCCTCTAAGAAGCAAGTCTAGTGCATTTGACAGACTAACAAGGAAATCACTTTTACACACAAGCATGTTGTACCTTATCTGATGCATTTAAGACTCACAAATTGTGATTCAGTCATTCGTGTCACCACGTGTGCCCAACAATTTTGGGTTTTCTGGATTTTGAGTTTTTTTTATGGATGCCATGTAGTTTTTTGACCTTTATGGCAACTACTTTGTTTCTATGACACAGAGTGTGTTTTTATCAGATGTGCCTGTCGACTAGTGGCAAAACCTTCTGCAGAATGTGGTGTGCAGAAGTCATCAGCATGGTTTTGTTCCACCCTGAGGGAAGGATGGGCTTGCCGAGGGCAGGTCCTATGGCTTTAAACCTGTCTCATTAGAGGTGAGAGGGCTGGCTCTGGTAGGGACAGCTTGTAAAGGTCTTGACATTGCTTGGTGGAAATTTAAGGACAAGGTACCTTGAAGGTGGTGATAAAGGGAAAAACCGTCTCAAGTGCAGGGAGCTGTTCCATCACCAGGAATGAACGAGGTATGAGCCAGAAACCTTGGAAAGGCATTGCCTGGCTGGGGACTATGTCAGTGCAGTGCAGCATCCTGTTAACCAAGGCTCCAATGAGACTTGAAGTGCATGTCTGCTGTAAGCACCCATAGTTTCTACTGTGCAAAGCACCACAATCACTTTTCTTAACTCTTTCCCTCTCTGGGCAGAAAGATTTGAAGTGCCTGGGATTCATACCATGCTCCAGTCACAGTTGAGCAGTGTCCCTTCAGAGAGTCAACTCAAATGAAGGGGACATTTTGTGAAGGTATTTTTACTTGGTCTTTGGTTTGGTTTGTTTCTGCTGAGTGAGGTGTTTATTGCCATTCCTGTTATCTATGGTTTCCCTGTAGGAGGTTTCAGACCTGAGTTTCCAAGACTGTTTGTGAAATCTATTTTCAGCAGACATGCCCACCTTACTGAAGTAGGCCAGCAAAAGATAAATGGCCTTACCAAATTCAAAATGCATCTTCAACTTCAGGCCTTTGCTTTAAGGCCCATATGCTCA